CCCTCCTCAACCCATGCTGAGATTTTTTACTTTTTTTATTTTTGACAGGTATTTATGTAGCCAAGTCTGGCCAAAAATGACTTTGAACTCCTGATTCTCCTACCTCCTACCTCTACCCCCAAAATGTTGGGATTAAAGACATCTGCCTTACCAGACAGTGTAAGCATGACCAACACCTAGCGCTGGAGCACTCCATCATGCCTGACTCTTTTTTTTTTTTTTTTGTGGTAATACTTTAAAATGTATTGCTTAAGAATTCCATGTGCATATACACTGTATTTTGAGCCTATCCACCCCCAGCCCATGTCCGTTTCCCTCCTCCATCGTCCCCCGTCCCAACAAAACCCCTCTCAGCTTCATGTCTTTAAAAACAAAAATCCTACTGAACTACTGAGTCCCATCAGTGCTGCGTGTGGCTTTTTTTAAAACGTGACTTCTGGGAATGCAGCTTAATTCTCATTCTTGTGTGGCAAGCACTTTACCAACAGGGCTACGTCCCCAGCCCTGGATGGCCTGAAACTTTCTATGTAGCCCAGGCTGGACTCAAACTCACAGAGACCCACCTGCCTCTACCTCCCAAGTGCTGGGATTAAAGGAGTATGTTGCCACCACCACCCAGCCAATTATGTGATTTTAAAATATATACATTTAATCTTATGGGGGTTTGTGTGGAGAGATTCCCATGGAGGCCAGAAGAAGACATTAGTGCTGGAGTTTCAGGCAGTTTTGAGCTCCTCAGTGTGGGAGCTGGGAACCAAAATTGGGTCTTCTGCAAGACCAGGAATCACTGAAGGCCGAGCCATCTCCCCAGCCCCGAGCATGTGGGGTTTTTTGGGTTTGCTTTTTGTTGTTATTTTTGTTTTGTTTTGTTTTATACACATTGGTGTTTTGCCTGCAAGTATGTATGCAGGAATCAGACTGCTGTGAACTGTCATGTGGGTGCTGGGAGTTGAACCTGGGTCCTCTCAAAGAGCAGCCAGTGCTCTTAACTGCTGAGCCATCTCTTCAGCCCCAAGCCTGTGTTTTTTTAATCCTTTGTTACATTCATACGTTCTATCACACTGCTGACTTTCATATGTTGAAACATCTTTGCACCTCAGGGGTATACCCCACGTGGTATATGGGATGACCTTGGTCTTGGTGATGATTTCCTATGTACAACACCAAATGTCACAGGCAAACAATATAAAACTAGACAAGAAGCATATGCTAAACCAGAATCTCTGAACAGCAAAGCAAACAACAGACTGGTCATATTTCAAAAAGGTGATCTGGGGCTGGAGAGACGGCTCATCAACAAAGAGCACTTGGCACTCAGTCATGAAGACCAAGTTCAGACCACAGTACCCACATCAGTGGGCTCACAAAAGCCTGTGACTCCAACTCCACGCATCCAACTCCTCTTCTGGTCTCGGTGGGGACCTGCGTGCACACATGCACACACACACACACACACACACACACACACACACACACACACACGCACACTAGATAGACAGACAGACAGACAGATAGATAGATAAACAAATAAATGGAATGTCTTTTCTTAAAAATAGCTCATCTGAAGTCAGTCAGTGGTGGTGCATGCCTTTAATCTCAGCACTTGGGAGGCAGAGGCAGGTGCATCTCTGTGAGTTCAAGGCCAGCCTGGTCTACAGAGCAGTAGGGCTGTTACACAGAAAAACTCTGTCTCAAAACAAACAAAAGAGCCGGGCGGTGGTGGCACACGCCTTTAATCCTAGCACTTGGGAGGCAGAGCCAGGCGAATCTCTGTGAGTTCGAGGCCAGCCTGGTCTACAAAGCGAGTTCCAGGAAAGGCGCAAAGCTACACAGAGAAACTCTGTCTCGAAAAACAAAAACAAAAACAAAAACAAAACAAAAAAAACAAACAAAAGCTAATCTGAAAAATATATAGGGAACTCTTAATAATTTGAGAACTAAAAAAGAAAACCAAGCTGGATGAGACAGTGTCTACCTGTAACCCCAGAACTCAGGAGACAGAGGCAGAAGGATTGTGAGTTTGAAACTAGCCTGGGCTATATAAATTCCAGTCCAGCCTAAGCCGCAGAGTAAGTATCTGTCTCAGAAAGACAAAACATAAGGAAAGAAGGGGAAGGAGATGACCCAGCAGATAAGGAGAAAATCAGGGCATTGTCCACAAGCTGACCTAGGAGACACACACACACACACACACACACACACACACACACACACACACACACACACACGTAAATAGATGTTAAAGACAAACAAGAGTCTAGGCATATGTCTTCAGGCAGTGGATTTCTGTGTGCTGGAGGCCAGCCTGGACTACATGATAGATGTAGACAGAAAGATGGTTCAGAGTTTAAAAGCACAGGTTGCTCTTCCGGAAGACTCAGGTTCACCATCTGTAACTCCAGTCCCAGGAAATCCAGCGCCCTCTTCTGGCCTCCACAGGCACTGCATGCACATAGTGCACAGAAGTACATACAGATTCATACCCATACACATAAAATAATAAAAATTTTAGAAAAAGAAGAAAGTTCCAGTTCAGCCAGGGCTACATGTGATGTCTGGTCTCAAAAAAGAAAAGAAAAATAAAGAAGGAAGGCAGAGGAAGTAAGGGAAGGAAAGAAACAAGAAAAAATATATAATTCAATGAAAACTTGGACTAGGAACCTGAAGTAGATGTTTTTCCAAAAAAGATACAAACAGCCCTGTGAGCATGCCAAATGCTCAGTTCACAGATCACTGGGGACTGAGACCACAACCACAATGTGGTACCACCTTGTACATGTCAGGATGGCTAACACCAAAACCACAAAACTCTTCTGTATGCTAACAAAATGAAAAGCAAACCAAACATGCAGGGCTGCCTGTAAAGCTGGCATGCAGGAGGTAGAGGCAGGACTATATAGGAGAGCCTGGGCTATATAGGTGAGTGCCAAGCCATCTTAGACAATATAACAAAATTCTCTCTTGGGCTGGAGAGATGGCTTAGTGGTTAAGAGCACCGGCTGCTCTTCCAGAGGACCTAGGTTCATAATCCCAGCACCCACATGGCAGCTCAAAACTGTCTGTAACTCCAGTTCCAGGGGTTCCCACACCCTCATACAGACATATATTGAGGCAAATACCAATGCACATAAAATAAAAATTAATAAATTATTCTTTTAAAAATCCTCTCTTAAAAAATGCAACCAACTGCCACCACCACCACCACCAAGAAAGACAATGCAGTTAAGGGTGTGGAAAAAGTTGAACCCTCACATACTGTGAGTAGGAACACAAAATGGTGTGACCACTGTAGAAAACAGGATGGAGGTCCCTCAAAGACAGAAATGGAAACTACTGTGCGATCCAGCAATCCTACGGGGTACTCATCACAAGAGCTGAAATCAGCATCTCAAAGAGGAGGTACCACACCTGCGTTCACTGCAGCACTATTCACAACAGCCAAGCTTAGAAACACCTTGAATGTCCTGGAAAAGATGAAGGAACTGTCTGTACAGAGAATGGAATACTCCTCAGATTTTCATGAGGAAGAGGATTTTGTATTATGTGATAACACAGCTGACTCCTTGGGGTAGCATAACGGCCAGTCAAATGTTGCATGACTCCATTCGAATAAGGTATGTAAGATATTCAAGTTCACAGAACCAAAGAATAGAATGTGGCTGCTGGGGGCTGAGGAAGAGGAAACAGGAGTGACCATCTCGGGGGATAAAGTGTCAGTCAGGCACAAGCTCCGGGGACATGCTGGACAACATGGCAACTATCATAAGCAACAATGCACTGTGCTAGGTTCTTGTTTAAAAGACAGATTTCTGGGAGGGAGCAGGAGGAGGGATGAGAGGGGGATCTGTGGTTGGTATGTAAAATTAATTAAAAAATTTTTTAATAAAAAAAGATAGATTTCATGTTAAGTTTTGTCACAATAGTCAATCAATTTGGTGGGGACCAACTGGTTGCATAACTGTATAAGATAACTCATGAAAAATGTTTTTCTTCCAAAAGAAACCTGAAAGCACAAACTGAAGGAGGAGTTGACAAAAATTGAGGTACAGAGTTAGAAATCAACTTAGCCACAATCTGAACAGTACTGCTCCAGTTTTAAAAAATGCATAAACTTTGGACTGATTCACACAACTTATTTAAAGTTATTTGCTAATAAAAATTCGGCATCCTTGCAAACCTGAGGACCCCAAATTCACTGTCCAGGCATGGTGGCATGTGCCTGTAACACCAGTGCTCAGTTGGGGGTGTGTACAGAGACAGGAAGATCCTGGGGCTCACTGGCCAGCCAATCCAGCAGAAACTGTGAGTTCCAGGTTCAGTGAGAGACACTGTCTCAAAAATGAGGTGAAAAACATTGAGTGTAGTGGCAAACACCTTTAATCCGAGAGCTCAAGGGAGAAGAAGCAATGGATCTCTGTGAGTTTGAGGCCAGCCTGGTCTACATAGTGAGTTCTAGACCAACCAGGGTTATATAGTGAGAATCTGTCTCCAAAATAATTTTTTTCCTTAGGTGAGAAGTGATTGAAAAGTACATTTTGACATCAACTTCTGGCTTCCACATGCAACTGCATGGACAAATGCACACACACACACATACACACACACACACATACACACACACATACACACACACATACACACACACATACACACACACACATACACACACACATACACACACACACATACATACACACACATACACACACACATACACACACACATACACACACACACATACACACACACATACACACACACACATACATACACACACATACACACATACACACACACATACACACACACATATACACACACATACATACATACATACACACACATACATACACACATACCCATACATACCCACACACACACACACGTGCGCTCATGCACATATTCACACACATGCACAGGAACACACACATGAGCACACACACATGCACACACAAATTCAGAAAAGCGTAAGTGAATGACAGTTTTATTGGTGAACTTACAGAGGGTGCAGGGCATTTCAGTTGAAGGTTTAGTCGCTTTGCCTGCAGGGGAGTTGCGGTGGCCGCACGGCGGCATTAAGGCAGCAGGTCTACATGTAGAGCTTTAGTCTCAGGCCGGGAGCTGCTGTGAAGTGGAAGTTGCCACTCCACTGCAGGCCTTGGATATCAGTGTACTCCCCCTCACCTTCCACCCTGTAAAAGTGAAAAGTGAGCTCGCTCATTAATTAGGACGGGACATTTACAGTCCAGACACACGCTATCTGGCCTCCCATACTACACACCTGTTAAGGCATTTTACATCTCTGCTTCCAATTTCTATCAAGAACCAGCACCCTGTGTCCATACACTAGGAAAACACACTACTTCAAACAAACACTGTCTGTGTGCACACTTTGGTGCTCACGGTTTCAGGGTCAGATAAACTAACTTTACACAAAACCAAACAGTCGACTCAAACTTGAAAATTGTGTATTGGTTATTTGGCTCAATAACCCAAATATTCATTTATCTAACAAATATTTCTTTTTTTGTTTTTGTTTTTTTGTTTTTTGAGACAGAGTTTCTCTGTGTAGCTTTGCACCTTTCCTGGAACTCACTCTGTAGCCCAGGCTGGCCTCGAACTCACTGAGATCCGCCTGCCTCTGCCTCCCGAGTGCTGGGATTAAAGGTGTGCGCCATCACCGCCCGGCCTAAACAAATATTTCTGCATCTTCAGCTCTGTTCGAAGTGCTGTACATGGGTGGCGTTCTTTTGGCCACACTGGAGTGGTGAAAATACACTGATATATGCAAACAGGCTTCATCCCACACACTGGCTTTTTCTCCCTTTATTAATATCAATGGAAGCAGTTTATGTCCTTGTTATAAACCTGGAGTCAAAAGAGGTGAATACTGTTCTGTCCTTTTAGAAACGGATCCACATTGACTTCATAACGATTAGGTAGCTTTCCATTTCTAGATATATGAAAGGGATATTTATCAATGAACTTTATTTTCTTTTGAGACAGGGTCTCATGTAGCCCAGGTTGGCCTCACGGAGCTTCTGAGCTTCCACTTTCAGCCCTCGGGTGCTAGGATTACCGGCATGGGCTGCTTGCCTGATTTTATGGGGTGCTACGGTTTGAACCTAATGCTTCATACACGCTAGACAAGCACTCTATCACCAAGCTGCGTCCCCACCCAATAATGAACTTTCTAGTGGCATGGTATTAAGTGACATTAAGCTTATAAAGCTATACTCCTGCTTTATTTCACTTTTTCCCTGCAATCATATGCTCAGAAATGACAAGAGTAGGTGCAGTTCTGGTTTTAACATTGTCTAATTTTTCTTACACTTTAAATGAGCATAATAAAAATGCTCACACACATCAGGTTAGAATGAAATAAATCATCATGAAATTAACCACAGGCCTGCTTTTTTACAAACGCAAATTGAGATACTTTAAGTGAAAATTATTCTTGGACTAAATTGGCTCAAGAATCACACATTGTCCACTTGCTCTGCACTAATGGAGACCACAAAGGCTGCGTTAAAAGTCTAATAATCAAAACTGGACGGCAGTGACGCACGCCTTTAATCCCAGCACTCGGGAGGCAGAGACAGGAAAATGTCTGTGAGTTTGAGGCCAGCCTGGTCTATATAGAGAGTTCCTGGACAGCCAGGGATACACAGAGAAACCCTGTTTCAAAAAAAAAAAGAAAGAAAAGAAAAAAGTCTAATAATCAGTCAGGTGTGGTGGCACATGCCTTTAATCCTACTTTAAACCTAGCACTTGGGAGGCAGAGGCAGGTAGATCTCAGTTTGAGGCCAGCCTGGTCTACAGAGTGAGTTCTGGGACAGCCAGGGTTATACAGAGAAACCCTGTCTGGCGGGGGTGGTGGGGTGGGTATGGGGTGGCTAATAATCTTTACAAAAATGATGTTCCATTTTGGAAGGTTATATGGTCACAGCTTCCCTTCTTACATTCCCCAACCACTAAAATAACTCAGCCTTTTGTGGAGATCAAATATACCACAAAGATTATTTAGTGCTGGGCGGTGGTGGTGGTGGTGGTGGTGGTGGTGGTGGTGCACGACTTTAATCCCAGCACTCGGGAGGCAGAGGCAGGTGGATCTCTGTGAGTTTGAGGCCAGCCTGGTCTACAGAGTGAGTTCCAGGACAGGCACCAAAGCTACACAGAGAAACCCTGTCTCAAAAAAAAAAAAAAAAAAAAAAAAGATTATTTAGCATTAATTAAAATACACTATTTAACAAGCACAACTAAAGAGAATCTTTTAGAATTATAATTGTTCTTAAAATTTAAGGTTACCTATTTTCATTGAAATTTCCAGTGTACTTTGCCCCAGTTGGGAATGTGTAAGTCCCCAGTCCATGAAACATATTGTTCTTAAATTGTCCTTCATACACGGCTCCTGAAAAATGCTCAAGTCTTCCAAAGCCATTCATCTGTGTGTAAGAAAGGAAATGCTCAGAAACCAGCCTTCACTATACACACAAGCCTATCAGTAACATTATCTTCGTCATCTTTTTATCACCCCTTGTTTCTACAAAAGTAGACCTTTTTACCATTACTCTTCCCCTGTGTCTTTCTGTGAAGCCTGCTAACTCAAATGTTCTGGATCTGGGGTATCTGAACACATGATGATGATAAACAGGATCCTCAAGGTACCCAAGTACCTCAGAAGTCTTAAAGAGCACCTGGTGTCGTCATTTCAGAGAAATAGTACACAGCAGTTGTTAAGAATGTGAATTTGGCTAGGTGGTGGTGGTGGTGGTGGTGGTGGTGGTGGTGGTGGTGGTGGTGGTGGTGATGCACACCTTTAATCCCTGCACTAGAGAAGTAGAGGTAAGCGGATCTCTGTTAGTTCGAGGCCAGCCTGGTCTACAGAGCGAGTTCCAGGACAGCCAAGACTACACAAAAAGAAACCCTGTCTCGGAAAAAAAAATAAATTAATAATAATAATAATAATAAAATGGTGATAATAATAATAATGTGAATTTGGGGTAGAGTCAGGGCTCAGTGGAAGAGGTGCCTACCACATAACATGAGGCCCTGAGTCTAGAGTGGGAGGTTGGGCATGAGGCTGATGAGAAGGCTCAGTGAGTTAACATGCGTGCTCAAGTCTGACAACCCAACTTGATCCCAGGCACTCGCGTGGTGGACAGAGAGAGCCATCTCACATACGCCGGCACTCACACGTCGATAAATAGATGTAATAATTTATTAAATGTGAATCTGTATTCAAGGAGAGCTGGGTACACATTCCTACTTTATCACTTACTGTCTGTATAAGAAACCTGAGTCTGATTTGTCTCATCTCTAAAAAAGGCGTATTAATAGGACCCATCTCATGAGGTCGTCAAGATTAAATGGGAAAAAGATAATGTGTTTGGCTTTAATGGGAACTGAGAAAAATATTAATAATATTAGCTCTCGTCATGAGCTTAATATTATATATAGAAAACAGACGCTAAGTAAAACCATTTATCTTCATTATAGAGGCTAGTTTAAACACAGGTCTCGCTACACAGCCCAGGAACCCGAGACCCTCACGCCTTGGCCTCCTACATAACACCATTACAGCTGTGAGTTGCTAAACTAGCCTTAGTAAGTGTAGTTCTGACTAATACTGAAATGCTTACTCATTGAACCCACAGGATCATTTATCCCCTAGCAGAATGAACGACGCTAACAATACCTTGTCATCTTTCCAGCTTCCCGTGTAGACAATTCCGTTAGGAGTGCTGTGGACGCCTGCCCCATTCCTCTCATAGATCCCAGAAGCTGTTCTGATGCACTCACCATCTAACGAGGAAGGGGACCTGGAGCTTTGAGATGGGCAGCGTGGACTAGGTCGACGTAACAGTTATGTAGAAGCCTATTCACAACCGCCTCCCCACCCCGTTATGTAGAAGCCTATTCACAACCGCCTCCCCACCCCGTGTGGGGGTTTTGCTTGGTCTTTGTTTTCCGGCTCCCTGGGACTAACGAAGGGCCGGGGATGGAAGACAGATTCCTCGGGTTTCTAAGGCACCTGTCCAGATGTAACAGCTTTGATTGAAAGGTCTGTGCATCTATTAGGATATCTGTTATTTCGTTTGAGTGAGATGATATACCAATAACGGTTTTATAAAATGAGTAAGTCTTGTTTTAAAAATCCTAAACTATTGAATTTTCTGTAGGAAAGGGTAATTAAAATGCATGCTTACCGTACTTGTCGCCATTTGGAAATATAAACTTTATCTTATACACTTCTGAAGATGCTTTAAGAGAGTGAAGAAAATAAAGGTAAGTCTGAATATTTTAATGTCACAAAACCTACAATAAATGTGTTTTCAGCACTATTCAGGTAAATTCTCTTCACAGAGGCGCAAACACCTCCTGACTGGCATTTCCATTGTCTGGTGTAGGGTCCTGAGAAAGTAAGTAATTTCGCCTAGATGATCTATTTTTATTTACTTCTTAAAATTTTATTAGTATAAAATTCACTTTTTGGTGGGGACAGGATCTCCCTAATGTAGCCCTAACTGGCTTGGAACTCATTAAGTAGACCCTGTCTTGAAAAAAAAAAAAAAAAAAAAAAAAAAAAACAAGAAAAAATTTGTTTTTGTTTTGTGTGTATGGGTGTTTTGCCTGAATGTATGTGTGTGTATCACATCTATGCCTGGCACCCCCAGAAGTCAGAAGAGAGCAAAAGATCTCCTAGAACTGGGATGACAGATGGTTGTGAAGTCACCATGTGGGTGCTGGGAATTGAACCCACATCCTCTGCAAAAGCAGGACAGACATTGTTTGTTTGTTTGTTTTTCAAGACAGGGTTTCTCTATGTAACAAACAGCCTTGGCTGTCCTAGAACTCTCTCTGTAGACCAGGCTGAGATCACAGAGATCTGCCTGCCTCTGCCTTGCGAGTGCCACCACTGCCCAGCCAGCCATTATTTTTTAAAGATTTCTTTTCTTTTAGTTAGTTAGTTAGTTAGTTAGTTAGTTAGTTAGTTAGTTAGTTAGTTTTTCTGAGATAGGGTTTCTCTGTGTATCTTTGGAGCCTGTCCTAGAACTCACTTAGTAGACCAGGCTGGCCTCAAACTCACAAGTGCTTCTGCCTCCCAAGTGCTGGGATTAAAGGTATGCACCACCACAGCCCAGCTTAAAGATTTATTTATTTCATGTGTATGGGTATATTGTTTGCATGTATGTATATGTGCCACATGCATGCCTGGTTCCTCAAAACTCAGAAAAGGGCATAAAATCTCCTGAAACTGGAGTTACAGATAGTTGTGAGCCACCATGTAGGTGCTGGGAATTGAACCCAGGTCCTCTGCAAGATCAACAAGTGCTCTTAACTACTGAGCCATCTCTCCAGCCCCAAATACTATTATTTTTGTATTGTTAGGAACATGGCCTTGGGACTGATAAGCATAGCCCCTTAGGATGGAAAGAGCTGGGTTCTTGCTCCAAAGCCACAGCTCCCCCGAGGCCCTGACCCCAGGTTATTACAGGCTCTTCCAAGCATATTCCTGGTTTTAGAGGAGCTGTCCTCTGTTTGTGTACATCAGGGCCTCAGGGAGAGCCTTGGGTCAGCCCAGTTCTCAATTGGAAACAGAGATACTTTCAAAATATGAGGTTGTGAAGGGACAGAGACACAAAACTGCTTTATAAGTGTTTAACAATGCTTATCAGATTACCAAATCTGCTTGCAGCGCCCATGGGACTCATGCTGTATTCTCCCTGAAACACGCCTGTCTTCTTTGGCTGAGAAACTACCTCTCATTCTGGAGCTAGAAACAGAATACAGTATTCCACACTCTGGCCTCAGGCTACCTAGACGCCCTCATTTTCTCTGGCCTAAGGCAAATGGCTTACCCCTCAATTTCGTCATCCTCACGTTAACTAAATCGATGAACCTATACAAGCCATGAAGGCTAGTGTCTAATTCTGGAGACACTATCTATTGTTATTCTGTAGCCCTGGCTCAGATAGGGCCTCTCTCCAAAGTCTTCCTTTTTTCTTTTCACCCCTAAACTCCTCTAGTCTCAGAACTCGGGGTCCTACTAAAACAACGCTTTTGTGCTTGGTCCCCTATCACACTCATCTCAACTAAAACAGTGATCACGGATCAGTTAAATCTCTTTTCTCATCCTGCCACCTCGCTCCGTATCAAGTATTAACAGAAAATGCCTATTTAGGGGATGAATGGCCTTTGGGACACAACCATCAAGCATTAAGAAGGACACTATTAAACACAATCAGTCATACAGGAAACTGAACAAGCAGTCCTCAACCGCTCTTCAAATTTCCACGTCTTGTGTGGTTTTATTTTGGGGGAAATTTTCCTTTTTTTTTTTTTTTTTGTTTGTTTGTTTGTTTGCTTTTAATGATGGTTTTTGGCTGATATTCATGAGGAAGCAATGCTTTGTACCAGGCCACCACTGAAAGGAAATCCCATCTAAGAGAGCATATTGCTTTTAGGCCCTCTGCTGGAAAAGTGGAATCAAGTCTCCCACGCCTTTTGTGTCCTCTAGTGTCACAAAGGTGGGGTAGCAACGAGGTATCACACTTTGTGAATGTGAAATACCTTATTCCTTCTTTATGATATGCAACTGTAGCTTTGTCAAAGGTGGTTTTGATGATCTTACTTAGAATGTTTTCTTTCCAGATGATGATTGAGAAGCTAATAAAAGAATAAAAATAGGGTGCCGGTACCCTAACCGTCACAAATCTGTTTTCTGGTTGTTTGGTGGTGTTTTGTTTGTTTTGTTCTGTTTTTAAGGTGATGCTGGACGTCTGCAATTTTGTTCAGATGGCTGCGGGAACTAGAAAAGCTGTTGTTATTATCGATGCATAACATTCTGCTATTATTGGTCTTTATATATACTTATAAATAGATTTGTATAAAGATATATACAGGTATAATTTGAATTTTTGAAAACTTTAGCTGTGCTACCAACTTTGGGGGAGGGAAAAGTACCCCGTTTTTTACCGTGTTGCATGGGCAATGAGCAGAAATCAGTAGCCATGTTAGTCTAGAAACATTGAGCTTAATTTCTTCTCCACTTGTACGGGGGTAACTTCAGTGTATTAAATATGGAAGGCTTTATCTATGTGCGCTGGATTGCAGAAACTAATGAAATATTCTCTAAATACAGGGATGACGTTTCCACGTTCCCTGGATGAGGTGAGCTAGCAGGAACCTCTGTGATTGCTACGGATCGGGCACCGTAAAGGAAACAAATCCGGAGAGACAGACACACAGCGAACCAGCGACAGACTCGGAGGCCCACGCCATCTCTCCGGACTCCCGGAGGCCGGGGCGGGGGGCCTGTCGAGTCCCTCCAGCCCCAGGGGCTCCGGGTCCATCCGCTGCAGGGAAAGGCGCCCTTCCCCCCCCCGCGGCCTGGGAGGAAGCCGCACTCACTTGACGGAGACGGGTTGGACAGACTGTCGCGACTCTGCGATTCCCCCTGGCTCGCCAGCTCTGCGGCCTTGCAAGGGAGCTGGGCGCTAGGACGGAGCGGGGCTCGGTTGCTGGGGCGACCGGGCGACCTCTCCCCCGGAAGCGGACAGGCCGGGAACCAATCCGAAGACGCTTGGGCGGGGCGGCGGCTGCGGCTGAGGTCCGAGAGGGAGGCCGAGCCCAGCTCGGACCCCGACCCTGGGTGCCGCCTCCTGAGTGCCGCGGCCGGCGACGCTGCAAGCCAGGTACGGCCTGACGTGGCGTGTGCGGGGCCGTGCGGGGCCGTGCGGGGTCGGGGTTGCCAGGCTCGCCTCCCCGCCTCCCCGCCTCCCCTCTCCAGTGATCACATCCCAGGACCATCCTGCCCCAGTGTGTCCCTGCCTGTCAGCCTCCGGGCCAGTGAACGCAGGACCGGCAGGATCCCCGAGACCCCCCCCCCCCCGCCCCGGGACCTGCAGACCCCGGGACCTGCAGCCGAGGTTGTCCACGCACGAGGCTCCGAACAGGGTTGGATTGGAGGGGCTCCAGCCCCATTTCCTGTCTGTGGCTCCGTGGCGACCCGAGGGACTATGGGGGGGAAGGGTTGGAGAAAGATGTAGGTTGAAGAAAGGAAGCTTGCATGGCTCGGGGTCCGAATGGAGCTCGGCGATGCATAGTAATCAGAGATTTGCCTGGGAGGCGAGTGGAGTGGGTTCGGTTTTCATCACCCCAGCTTGGGGATGCTGTAACGTGGGAGCCAAACTCGGGTGTGAAACAAAGGATCCTTTCCGAGCCAAACTTAGATTCGGTGTCTATGGTAAAGAAAGACGAAATCTTCCCAGACCCGAGAGATAGTGGATTATGCAACCTGATTTGTATTATTCTATAGGAAACATCTGGTAATGTAGTCGTATTGGATGCCACTATAACCATTAAATCTTGGTTCAGATTTTTGTGTGGAAAAAAAAAATCACAGCGCAAGTTGGAAATGTAACCTTTTGTGTGTTGGTGTGAGGCAACTTGTTTTAAATCGGTACGGAATCCTTTTGCCTTTTTCTGACTCTTTCTTAGTGTATGAATTAACCCGAACTGGGTGGTTTTGAGTAATGAGATGTTTGATGTGTGTATGTTTTCCTTTCTTCCTAAATTAAAAAAAAAAGATATGCAATTATTGATATCCAGCATTAGAGAATTCAATTTATGTCATTCCTTTACTCACCTGTTAAGCGTTTAACGCCTTGTGTGTGTGTGTGTGTGTGTGTGTGTGTGTGTGTGTGTGTGTGTGAGTGAGTGTATGTGAATCTATTGCTGTCTTAGAGAACTTGTAGTTTGGACTTATGATGTTCTTACCTAGGGGGGATCTGGAATTAGAGGGAAATTAAAATACTTGAATTTTAAACCACCACCCCCCTCCCAACAATGTTTCTCTTTGTAGCCCTACCTGCCCTAGAACTCATTCTGTAGACCAGGCTGGCCTGGAACTCAAAGATCCATCTGCCTCTGCCTCCGGAGTGCTGGTTCTGAAGGCGTGTGCCACCACTGCCCAGCGAGTTTTAAATTTTAAATTAAAAGAGGGCATCATTTGTGTTTTGTTTCTGTATTTATGGTGTTTGGGCATTTGGGGGGTCCTATCCGCCATGGAGAAACTGTCCTTTCAGAGCTAGCTAATGAACAACTCACCAGTGAAGGTGCTGTTCATATAAAAACTAACCAATCTTGGGTTCAAATCCCAAACCACTACTTTTATCTAACTTTTACACTCCAGCTAATCCCTGTCGATAACCTAAGTCAACCTGAGGTCAGGTACCACTTGTTCCGGTTAGAGAAAAACAAAACAAAAACAAACCCCCACAATGGCTTAAAAATTTGGGGGGCGGAGACACAAGTTGTTTACACTGAAACTCCATTGGCTGTAGACAGGAGGGGCGGGATGACGCAAAAGTATCTGAGGCAGGGAGACTTTGTAGCAGGATAGGATGCTAACTCCTAAGAGTTAGAGCTAAGGTGAGAGGATGTAGTAGGGGAGCTAAACTAATCAGTTATCAAGAAGATTGTCTGACACACACACACACACACACACACACACACACACACACACACACACACACACACACACACACACGCACACCCATTCCACCGAGGCCAGATTGCCCTGATACGTATATATTTTCTGCACTATTAACCCAAACCAGAAATTAACCCAAACCAGAAACAACACTTAACTTCTTAGGAGTTAGCATCCTATCCTGCTACAAAGTCTCCCTGCCTCAGATACTTTTGCGTCATCCCGCCCCTCCCGTCTACAGCCAATGGAGTTTCAGTGTAAACAACTTGTGTCTCCGCCCCCCAAATTTTTAAGCCATTGTGGGGGTTTGTTTTTGTTTTGTTTTTCTCTAACCGGAATAAGTATACTAGTTTCCTAATTGAGGTGCTGGTTTCTCTTCATACACACTCTGGTCCTATCCCGACATCCAGTCCCGGGGCCCCCGGTTGATGTTCTGGACTTCAGACCTTTGCATCTACCATTGCTGCTACTCAAAGTATTCTTTTCACTAATGTTTCATGGCGCACTCTCTCCATTTGTTCATGTATCCGCTCAGAGGTCCCCTGGAGAGGCATTCATCAACCACTCTGTAATAGCCTCAGTTGAGTTTTTTGGTTTTGTTGTTGTTGTTTTTCTAGTAAGTTTTTGTTGTTGTTTTGGTTTGGGTTTTTTTTTTTTTGGTTTTCAAGACAGGGTTTCTCTGTGTAACAGCCCTGGCTGTCCTGCAACTTGCTCTGTAAACCAGGTTGGCCTTGAACTCACAGAGATCCGCCTGCCTCTGCCTCTCGAGTGCTGGGAGTAAAGGTATGTGCCACCACCGCCTGGCTCTGATAATTTTTATGGTTTTTGAAATTATAATTTCATCACCCCTGCATCCTTTTCCTCCTTCTAACCCCTCCCTCATACCTCCCTTGCTTTCCCTTAAATTCATAGCTTCTTTTACTTTTATTGTTGTTACATATGTACATATGTGTGTATATGTATATGTAGACACACACACATGCGCGCTCGTGCACACATATATGAATAAATACAACCTGCTCAGTCCATATAATGTTACTTGCATGTTTATGACCTCAGAGCTGACTACTTGGTTTTGGATAACCAATTGGGGGGCTCTTTCCTAAGGAAAACCATTTCTCCCCCTTCTGTGTTAGCATTTCCATTGGTGCCCTTGTTTGGGTCATATCCAGGCAGCCATGCTGAGGAAACATCATGGGTGTAGCCTTTCTGGCACTTCTAGGAGTCGCAATCCCACAACAGAGTTCCTGTTCCTCTTGCCCTTACAATCCTGTCCCTTCTGATCCCTGAACCTAAGGTGCAGGAGTTGTTATTGGTGTATCAGTGGGGACTGGGCACCACACCATCTCTCGTTCTCTGCATTTGGATCGATTGTAATTTTCTGTAATGGCTTTGTCTGTTGCAAAAAGGTTTCTTTGATGAGGGGTGAGAACTGTCAGATTTCAGAGCTCAGAGTAAAGAGAAAGAAGGCAGAGCGTTACCAGCCGTTGGTTGCTACCAAGGTGTGCATGCCACTATTACCCCCTTAGGGTTATCGTGCCTGGATGGTTGTTGTGTTTCATAGATACTGAAGCTGGGCAAGACGATTTGCTTCTCTCTCATGGGAGCTTTCGTGGTGCTTTCTGGTACCGTGAAAGCTACTCCTCAGGGAGGAGGCTTTCAGGTCAGATCCAGCTCAGCTCCTCTGGGCGCTGTGTCTGAAGCGTATGGTGTCTTCAGCAGAGGGACACCTTCCACCTCTGGGGAGCAACTAGTTCTCTGTTGCTGTAGTTCAGATATTATCTGTCCCCTCCAAAACTTGTATTGAGCCAGTGGCGGTACATGTCTTTAATCCCAGCACTCAGGAGGCAGAGGCTGGTGGATCTGTGAGTTCAAGGCCAGCCAGGGAAGTTACACAGAGAAACCCTGTCTCCAAAAAAAAAAAAAAAAAAAAAGCAAACAAAAAAAATTATTTTGATATTGATTAACCAGTAGTAGGAGTTGGATTCTTTAAGGGTGATTAGGTAATTAAAAGAGATTAATACCTCAAGGGAGAGAAATCAGTCTCACAAGATAGTGATTATAAAGCAAGGCCGTCCTTTGTGCTTTGCCTCTTCCTTAAGCCTTCTTGCCCCTCTTCTCTTCTGCCCTGCCAAGACCTACCTACTGCAAGGCTCTGACTGTCATCTGCTCAGATGCAGTGTACTTTGAACTTCCTAATGCTCAGAACTGTGAGCCCAAATAAACCTTTGGTCTTTGTAAATTACCCAGTCTTAAGTATTCTGGAATAGCAGAGGAAAACAGACTAAGTCTTGATTGATAGTACCTGTGTTTATTATCCACCAGACCCTCTAGAAAGGAAGCCTCAAAAAGCATGACTTTTGTCTTAGCTGTTAAATCCCCAAGATCCACCACATAAATGTTCAATACATATTTGTAGAATAGACAAATTCACGAATGAATCTTCATTCTCACAGAAATTATTCATTAACCGTCAGTCATTCACACCCCAGCACATGTTTAATTCCTGCTTTCTGCCAGATGTTACATATCCTAGAGGTACACTTGTGATCAAAATAGACATAGTTACTGCCTCCAAAAAGCTTTCTAAGTGTAGGAGAGGAAGACAAAATAACACTCAATACACACATACATACATACATACATACATAAAACCAGAAAGGATCTTGAAGAAAAAAGACCAAGAGATCGTTTTAATATCCATATATTTGTGAGTTGATCAATTTGTGCCTGCTTTTAATTTCTAATTTCATTTTATTTTAGTGGCAGAGCATGTTTTGTCTTATTTCTGTCTTCTAAAAGTTATTGAGGTAGCTGGGCATGGTGGCGCCTGCCTTTAATCCCAGCTCTCAGAGGCAGAGGCAGAGGCAGGCGGATCCCTGAGTTTGAGTTTGAGACCAGTCTTATCTGCAGAATGAGTACCAGGACAGCCAGAGCTACACAGAGAAACCCTGTCTCAAAAAAAAAAAAAAAAA